AAGCAACATCCTCCACAACTAGATTGAAGAACAAAACGACAGCAACTTGTCTGTTCCCCTTCCCCCAATTCCCCAGCACTGTTCCCATCCCCCAGTTCCCCAATAAAAATCTTTTAAAAAAAAACAAAACAAACAAAAAAAAACTTAGTATAAGACAACTTTGATCCAGAAGTAAACAGTATCAGGGGAATATCCTAAACTCAGACCATTGCAAACAATAAGAAAAGAGTATGTGTGGTAGATATTTATGTAGGCTAGTGCCTACCTGGCTTTCACTGTGACTATTAATAGAAACACAGCTTATGGCTTCCTGCTTTTCCTCACAATCACAAAACACTAGGTGCTATGAAACATACAAAAATTAAATTTTTTCCAACCCTCCAAAAGCATGTGACCTCACTACTGATACATCAGTCCATGTACTAATACCTGCTCGTGTGTGTGTGTGTGTGTGTGTGTGTTTGTGTGTGTATGTGTGTGTAAAAGTCAGTATAGGTTGTTAGTAACCAACAATGCAAACATCTTTGTGAGTTACCACCAAGGTTTATTGCTTAGTCACTTGATATTTTATATAACCTACAAGACTCAGATTCTGCTTTGCCCCATGTTATCTTCATTCCAGGATTTAGGTTAAAAGACCCAGCCCAAGGTATGTCCACCTCACAGAAGGAAAAGGGACATGGCAAAACATGGAACAGCGCTTAATACTTCTGCTTAACAACGCGTAGCATTTCCAGTTAACATTTAATTGGCCAAAACAAGTCACTTGACCAATGGGGCAGCAATGTATAATCCTGTCACAGATAATGGAAGCGAATATTTTAAACAATAATTCCATCTGTCACATATCTATCACTAAGATTACAGAAACAAAATATATTCAGGCTATTCAAACCAATAATAAAATTAACATTTAGTAGGTAAGGTTTACTATGTGCCAGACACTATTCCAATATTTATTAGTGTTAAAATATTTAATTCTCCTAAGAATTCAACAAAGATGATTGTTACTGATGAAACGAACTAACTAATTATGTTTTTGGGGTTTTTTAATGAGGAAAAAAAGACAAAAAATGAAACCTATTAGAAGGCACTTTAGAAACAATTCAAGCTCACAAAACTTGGCTTTGATATGTTCCAAAGATAGCAAAAGTAGCTGCCCTTTAGAGAGGAATTTGTTTATGCAGCTTATCTGAAGTAGAAGCCAACCTACTGGTTTTAAATGCCCTAAATGTTTCTCCGATTTGGGCTGAGACAGTTTCTCAGTAAGATGTCATACACAGAACTCTTGTCAATGTTAGGGCCTCTTACTCACTGGAGGTCCTAAGACTCATAATTTCATATTTATCTAATGCCGAAAAAGGAAACAGAGTAACAGGAAGAGCCAGAGATTGGAGTACAAAAATAGACCTCAAATAAAGGTCTCCCATGCTCAGTCCCCACCAGTCATTAACACCTGCTGCAGACCCTAAGGAGTTATGTTTGAGGTAAACACAAGATTCAGTCCAAATTGAGAAGTCATGAAAACAGGGTTAGGTGAGATGTGTACATGAATAGGTTAAAGAAAACAAAAACTCTTGCATCAAATGTTCTGAGTCCTAAGCATTGCTATTCTGAAATAGAGTGCCATTTTATCTGGTTTTTCTATTAATACCCTAAATAGTTAAAGTAACCCCGGACAATCCCTTGGGAAAGTAAAGGTAAATGTAGTCATTTATCAGGCTTTCCCCACTCTTCTCTTCAGTCCAGGGAAAGCAGCAGCTCGTAGAAACAAACTAGAGCATGAGCTCAGTAACTAGACCAGCTGAATCATCTACACTGTTTAAATAACTTTTTCTCTCTCTGTTGTGTGTATATGTTGCTGGATTTTTTTGGTCGGCTTTTTTATTTTTCACTGATATATTATAGCTGAATTCATATAAGTTAATGTAGCCGTTAACTGCTTCTTTCCTTCTGTGGTTTCTTTTCTCCGATACTTGTAGTTTTTCACTACTCCCCTCCTTACCAAGTGCCTTACTGATTCTACCCGCCTCATTTTACTCAAGTGATCTGAAATGCTACATCATTTGCAAATGTTTTCTAAACTTTAAAATAAAATGAATTTTAGATGTTAATTTCCACCATTAATTGGTTCTTTTTCCACACTCAGTCTTTTCAGGTCCTTCTTACTCTCAAATCATAAGGGGAAAGAGTGCTTAAGGATGAAAAGCAAATAATATTAAGGGAGAAGGACCACAGATTTCTCTTTAAGGGAGATGAACATCATAAGCTCTTTGGGGGGAAAAAAAGTGGTACAGAAAGCAAATAAATGTGTCATTTGACTTGTGTTTAAAATCTGTTTCGTTGGCTTTTAAGTTTTTTAAAGTGTGAAACAAAAATCATATGCAGCACAGAGAACTTTATTTGGAAAACAAGGAAATACAGGCTTACTTCTCTTTTAAAAAGTCATCTTATATGATTTAAAATTTTATTTTCAAATCTCTTCTAACACATTTGCAAGCAGAAACTCTTTAAATCTGGATAAGTAATACTCATTATCATCAAAGTTTCCAAAATTTAATATCTTAACTTCAACTACTTTAATAGCTGACAAAATGGCTGTGACTTAAATATACGGCCATGTTTTGATTAGCCATGCATCAATGGACCCTTCAAATTTGTTTTCAGTTCTAGGGCAACTGTGAATATATTATTATTTGGGGATGCAAGATTGATCTCTATAATGTCTAGGAGAACAAGAACTAACCTGAGTCAACTCTATTCTAGCCCCAAGTCAACCAGTGGAGTCTTTTACCTTAGAGAAATACTTCCCATTCTTCAAGTTCACCATATGTAGAAGAGTTAACTACAATCTTATTTGCCTTTCCCCAATCTTGGCATCTTTATTTCCCAATGACTCGATATTATGTATATATCTCTCAACTATTGCCTTCAAGCCTTTTCATAACCAACTGACCCTTTCCCACTCAAAACCTTAATAAAACTTACCTCCAAAAATCCTTTCTAATTAACTCTAGTTCTAACTCTCTGCATTCCCTTTATATTTATTTAATATCACACTGAATTAATTAGCATTTAACTAGACCCTCTTCAATTTTTAACCACTCCCATTCCTCCCACCCACTTCACATCAGTCCATCCAGTCTTTCCATCCTTGTTCTAAGCATTTAGTGTAGTCTCAACAGCATGCAGAAGACACTCAATATAAACCCTGGTTTATGTTGATACTAACATGCTGTGAAAATAGCGACAAAACATAACAATTATTCGCAGATAAAAATGTGTGTGTGTGTGTGTGTGTGTGTGCGCGCGCGCACGCGTGTGCTCTCGGGTTGGTACAAAGTCTGGAAAATTATGGAAAATCGGGAAATGAAGGATTAAGTAATGGAGCAGAAAAAACATCACCATCACAAAATTGCTTCAAAGCAAAACAAGAACAACGAACAATAACAAAAGTTTCTGAATTACTGTGGGGCTTTAATAAAATTCTGGATGGGAATCCTCCCAGCATTACCAACAGCCTTTTACAAATTTTAACTTCCAATATCACTAGCTGTGATCCTTTTACTAACATTGAATTCCAACCAAGTTTTCCTCCCAATCAGACTGATGACTAAAACAATCCTTTTGTTCAGAGACCTACTCAGTACCACTTAAACAAAAAAGGAACTGATCCCCCCAAGTAAGCACTGGCGTGATGGGCGAACAGGTGAAAAATGGAGGGGTGCTGAAAGTGGGGCGAAACATCAGTGCGACTCCTCCCCTTCTCTGGGGACTAGGGAGCACTCAGCTCGCAGCTCGGGAGACAGCCCGACCCCACAGACACTCTCTCACAGCAACAGTGCAAAAGTTTCCAAGACACCAGTGGTCCTCCTCCCACCTCCCCGCATTCACGGTCGACTCGCCTGCCTAGCGCCCCCTGATCGCAGCCAGCCCCCAATCCGCCCGCCCTCTCCCGAGGAAAGGGTCAGCAGAGGACGCCTTCCCCGAGGCCTGCTCAGGGACCCAGCCAGCAGAGACCTCCGCAAGGGTGAAGGGACCCGAGAAGCTTGAAGAAGAAGCCTAACGATCCTGTTACCTTGTCGGAACCCTGGAAACGGAAATGGCAGCTACAGACGCTGCCCTTCTCCCCCACAACGCTTGCTTCAGCGCCACTGACATTGAGACCGCCGCCATCTTGCCGTGGGCAAACACCAGGACGGATCACCGCAAGGGACAAACTTCCTTCGTTCTCACGGCAGTGTAACTGGCACGTAACAGAGTGGGGGGTTTGTTTATTTTCCTTTTATTTGGTCTTTTGTTAAATGCTGGAGTCTAGAAAAGAGGTGAAAAGTTTGGTTGACATAGATAAGAAGGAAAGTGGATGGAAGAAAAATGCAGAATTGCATTAAGTGTAAATATTACCCCCCATAAAGTATAATCCTTGTTTGTTGTTAGGACTGGTTATTTACTGGTTATTTAATGAAAAGACCAAAAGAAAATACTTGAAAATTTAAACACCTGCAACTCATAATTTTTTCAAAGGACTCAGAATATTTAGGGCTGAGCCCACTGGAAGAGCCAGAAGGCTCTTTTGGTCCTTGAGAACCTAAAGTAGTACTTTTCCAAAGTGTTGCCAGATTCAGTTCGCAAGCCCTCAGGAAAAGGCTGTATTCTGTTTGATGTTCTGTAGTTGTAATGATCATATTTTCCAAACGAAAACTCTGGACACATGGCCTGGCAAAGGATTATTTTTTTGACATGTGGATTTATATGAAAAACTAATGGAACATAATATTTGATACCACTGTTTTCCCAGTAATTCCTGAATGTGTGATCACAATCCACAGACACCAAGACTATTATTAATGCTCCATACGTATAAAACAAAAATTATCCTCTGAGACAAATGTTGGAAACATATTTATATTGTGGGCCTACTACCTTCAGAACAATAATTAACTGTGGATTATGTAAAATAAGTAGTTGAGTTTTGGGGGTTTCTTTTTAGAGATTTTTTTAAAAAGCGAACATTGCTGCTTTTAAAATTAAACGTGCAAACGTAAACCTTTATTAAAAGAATAAGATTAACAGGAGGATGGGAAATGACTTGGTTCTGCATTATGGCCAATTAAAAGAAAAGGGGAAAAAAGAGATTCAGCACCATATCACATAGCACCAAAGAGAGAAAGCCACATCCAGGGAAAGAAAATGCACAGAAAGATGAAGGAAAGCGAAGGAGAGATGTCTCAGAGAAAATTTTCCTTAAATTTTTTTATTTTGAAATAATTAGATTTCATAGGAAGTTGCAAAAATAGTACAAAGTGGTATCTTTTACCTATCCCCCATTGGTTACATCTTTAATAACTCTAGTACAATATCAAAGTCAGGAACCTGACATTAATATAAAATGTTTGTATAGCCCTATGTCATCCTGTCACCTGTCAATTCATGAAACTGCTACTACAATCAAGATACTGAACTATTCCATCACCACAAAGATCTCCCTGGTGCTACCCTTTCATAGTAACACCTGCCCCCAAGCCTGGCCACCACTACTCTGTTTCCGATTTCATACTTTTGACCTTTCAAGAATGTTTATAACTGGACTTATGCAGTATAGCACTTGAGATTGGCGTCTGTCTTTCAGCATAATGTCCTTGAGATCCATTCAAGTTATTGCATGTATCAATAGTATGCATCAAAGGAATATTCATCCCTTTATATTGCTGAGAAGCATTCCATGTATTAATCAGGTTCTCCAGAAAAACAGAAGCAATTATATGAATGTACCATAGTTTGTTTAACCACTCATCTGTTGCAGAACATTTTGCTTGTTTACCATTTTTGGCTATTACAAATAAAACTTCTCTGAATGATCATGTACAGGGTTTTGTGTGGACATAAATTTTCATTTCTCTGGGATAAATGCTCTAAAAATTTCAACCCACCCCCAACATTTTCTATATATCTTCCCTGCTTTATTTTTCCTCCTTAAAATTTTTGTAACTTTCAGTACTTTATGAACTTTCTATAATAAGTATGAATTATAAAATAATGAGCTGTTGCCTTCTAGAATGATCTACCTTGCCTCTTATCTCGTCGTCCTCCTTGCCCTTTGGAGCACAGCTGAGAGTCACTCCCTGTGGTAGAAACTAGGTATCTTACAGGCATTTCCCACCTCTCCCTTCCTTGCTGACAGAGCCTAACTGACTCCTACTATAGAGGCTAAAAAATGTATACTTGCTTTCCCAACAGCTCTTGCAGCCAGTACATGGACATGCCCAAGACCAAGGGGATCTAAAATGTCTTCTGAGAAAAAAGGCTTCTGAAAAAAAGGGGCATACAAGCAGTAACGCCTCTCTTCCTGCCTTTGGTTGCAGTTGTATGAGAGCTTAATGCCTAGAGCTTTGACATCTTCTCGGCATGAAGGGACAAGCCAAAGAGCTTAGCCAACGAGAAACGATGGGAGAGCAGAGAGAGGGAAGAGCCTAGGTCTTTAATGGCATCATTGAGCTTCTGAATCAAAATACCTCCAGACTTTGTTATATGAAATAATAAGTGGCTTAATTGTTTAACCCCTCCATTTGTTAGACATCATGCAGTGAAATAATCTTTTCCAATACTCTTACACAAGGGATGCTTCTCTGGCTTCCCTGGCCACATCAGCTCTTATTGTAGACTCACCTAGCACCACGTCTTTCTCCTTTGGAGCACCTCCCGTGCTGCAGTTTTAATGCAATGTGATCATCTCTTTCTCCAGCATGTAAAGTAAGCTCTCTGAGGACAGGGATCGTATCTATTGTTGCTGATCATTTTCCCAGTACTATAGCCCCGTCTCTGACACAAAATAGTCCCAAAGAAGTTGCAGAATGAATGAATAAATGAATGTAACTGAAACTTTTAAAATGTTGGGGAAAGTGCCTTTTTGTTGTTTTTGCTTAGAAGAAGCTTGTGCAAATTAGTTTTAATTTTTTTTTCAATTGCAGTTGACATTCAATATTATATTAGTTTCAGGTGTACAGCATAGTGGTTAGACATTTATATAACTTACAAAGTGATCCTCTCGATAAGTCTAGTACCCACCTGACATTTTACATAGTTATTACAATATTATTGACTATATTCCCTAAGCTGTACTTTATATCCCTATGACTATTCTGTAACTGCCAATTTGTTGTACAAATTAATTTTAATGTGATTGTTCTCTAAGGTCTACAGATCTTATTGGTTTTTGATATTTTGTCTTTGATCAAGTGCCATTTCCTGAAGACCTTGGTGGTATATTGGGAATAGGAGCCCAGTGTTGCTGGCAAGAGACCCGAAACCATGAATCTACTTTTTATTAGGGTTACATTTTTAAAAAGTTAATAACCCCTTTCATTTCCTTATTTCTCACATTTCAAATACAGGATATGCGCCTTTCAGGGACAGAAGTAATTTGCTATGTGCATTTATTTTTTTACAAATTCACCCAAACTATAGATTCTACCACTAGGCTTAATAGATGCTTAGGTCCAAATACCACTTTATTATTTCAAATAGGAATATTAAAATGTAAATTGAGTTTACTTTGTATTTGCATTTCAAGCATGGTGGCCAAAAGAAACATTTAGTTTAGTCTTTCTGATGGCATGTGACATTTACAGTGGATCTGAAGTTGTCTGGTTTTAATTTTTTCCCCTTGCACATGGGGTCTTCAATAAAGCATCCAGAAGAAAATAAATTCAAACCAGACATTTCTATCAGAAGTTTCACATGCAATCGCTATAGACCTGAAAATTTTCACTATCACTTATTGGCTACAAGCTAATATTTTGAATCACATCTATTTTTCACTGCTAATTTAATTGAAAACCTTGAATTAATACATTCTTATTCTAAAACTATCATGACTTCTGGCAAGGCTGCTGAGTCTTTGGCAACAAGTGAAATAATTTCTACCTATAGTGAAGAACTGCCATTTGAAATTATTTTTGGAAAACAAATAGTACAATCAAAATTTGTAGGAACTCAAGGAATTTTCTCACATAAATTTGATCCATGTCCCATCACAATCTCGAGTTCCAATTCTAAACTTTCAACTGCTTATAAATAGGTCATTCTCAGACTTCACATGTAAAAAATGAAACTAATTCTATTCCTTCCCTTTCTCTTACCCAAAGCAAATCTGTTCCTCCCATCCAGTATTCTCTGTCTTGACAAAATACTACCATCTTTCTTCCAACATAAGATGTCATCAACTATAAAATGCATCATTATTTTCTGTACTGATAAGTACAAAACATGCAGCAATTAAACCATGACACACTACCAACTATATTATATATCCTGATTTCAGAGAGGTAAAATGTGGGGAAATGTACATTTTAGAAACAAAGAAATATAGTAATTGCCTAACCCAATATCTTTTCTTTCCCTTGTCCTTAGTAATAGAAGCCATTATTTATTGGTCTCTGAAATAAAGACTTTATTTTTCAGCCTCTCTATTGTTAGTAATAGTCATGTAACAAGTTATGGCCAATTAAATGTAAGAAAAAAGTATCATGTGACAACTCCTGGGAAACCTCCTTTAAACACAGAGATCAGTTGCCCCTCCTTCCCCAGCATCCTTTTATTTACTTTTTCTATCATCTTGCTACCTAGACATAAATGTGAAGACTCAGATCATGAAGACAAGATATCTATGATGAGCAAATAATGAGGCAGAAAGAGCCTGGATACTCAACGCATCCTTTGATTCCATAGAACTGCCTATCCATTGATCCTACCATCGTTTCCCTGTTCTACACTCTCTTGATGAAGATTCTCTCCTCTTATCCAGATTAAATTCCCAGGCCAATTATTATTATCATTTTTGTTGTTGTTGTTGCTCACACTCAAAACTCCCTTGCCCCTCTCTCACGTTCTTACACTCAGCAAAACTGCCACCAAGTCAAATTCAATTCTTTCTGTCTTTTTTTTTTTAAGATTTTATTGGGGAATTGGGGGAGGGGAACAGCGTTGGGGAATCGAGGAAGGGGAACAGAGAAGTTGCTGTCCTTTTGTTCTTCAGTCTAGTTGTGGAGGACGTTGCTTCACTGGCCCATGTTGGTATTATCATTGTGCTCTTCCCCGGGTGAGGCATATTGGTCACTGGTCACTGGATGGCAGCTCACGGTGGCTCTTGGCAGCTCATGCCGGCTGCTGGCCGCTCATGGTAGCTTACAGCAGCCTACTGCAGCCTATGTCATCACCGGCG